CTACATTAATTTTCACTGCTGTAAAATATTCAGGAGTGTAATAATGCCATGCTTCATCCATTCTCTTACTCTGTGGATAAATTAAACTTAAATATTTGTTCTGAGAGCTGAGATGACCTGTGTCAAACACAGCATTAACTATTTGCTCCAGCAGAGCCTAGTGCAGAAAGATAAGACAGCAACCTAAGAAATAACTTCACTATTACCTTCAGAAAATTCTTGCAATTCACTCTATCCAGGCAGATAGTCTGCACTATTGGAGAAACAACTCTTTTATAAGGAAGGACAAGAGTTTATTCATCTGGATACACAGTGAGCTTATCAAAACGACAGCACTTAAAAAAATACTCTATTAACCCCAAAGAAGGCAGGAAAGAGGGGGAAAGGATCCAAAAACAGGTGGGACAAATAGAAAAAAAAAGGCAAGATGGCAGATTTAAATCCCACCATGTCATTAATAACATTAAATATAAATTGTGTAGACACTACAAGTAAGAGAGGCTGTCAAACCGAATTTTAAAATAAAGAACTATCTGTCACCCACAAAATACCAACTTTCAACAGAAGGAACAGATAAACAGGAAAAGGCTGGAAAAAGACACGGCATGAAAACACCAATCCAAAGAGAGCTGGCTGAATTAATAGGAGACCTAATTCTCTGGTTCCTTTCCGGCGGGAGGGGCGATGTTGGAAAAGCCAGGAAGGAAAGAAGAGGCGAATGTGAGGGTCAATAGACACAGGAAGAACTGCACGGCAGGGGCCGTCTACACTCACCGTGAGAACGAGGACACGGCGGCCTCAGGCCATGGAGCCCGGAGCATTCCTCGGCCGGGATGCTGTCAAGGACCCGATGCTGCTGCCCGTCTCCGCAGCCCTGCCAGGACCCCTTCATCCCCGCAGATGGCTTCCTGTATGAGCGTGAGCCAATGCGAGGTACATCTGCACCGGAAGGAGGAGATCGCCTGGCGGACACAGGCCTGCGAGAGGCTGCGGGGCGCGCGGTGCGAGCAGCATTAAGCGCCGCAGTGGCCGAAGCAGAGGACTGGGCGTGCGGCTCTCTGGAGAAGGAGGCGGTCACCGTGAGAGGCTCCTCAACCCCCGCACGCCCAGGGCCGCCTCGGGGAGCCTCCCGGGTGACGCCCCACCAGGCCTAGGGCAGCCCGCAGGCAAGGACAAGGCGCTGCCAGCTTCCGGCTCCGTCTGGCCCCCGAGGCCAAGGTTTTATGAGCCTGTACACAACCGAGCTAGAGCAGCTGTCGCGCATCGTGATAGGCCCCACGCGGGGGTAGAAAAGGCTCACGTCTGGCCTACGACTCGCTTCCCGCCGCACTTGGCGACCCCGTGGACCGTGTCGCGGCGCATGCGCTGTGAGTGACGTGTGCGCCGTGACCCGCGCCGGCCCGGACGACGCCGTGCCGGGCGCCGTGCCGGGCGCCTTGCTTGTATGACAGGCTGATTCGGAAGGAAGTGGTGGACCCCCTGACCGTGACACCCCCGTGGACCTCAATGTCATGGCTCTGCAGTGGGCGGCCGGGCCTCCTGGGTTCCAGAAGCTGCGGGCGAAGCTGCTGGCAGAGGTCAGGGGAAACCAAATAAACAGGCTTAGATGCAGGAGAAAGAAAAAATGCCCTGCACCAGATTGCCTGAGTTCAAAACCTGACTCCCTGCTAACTAGCTAGAGTAAATTACCCTAGCCGCTTTCAGCCTCACTTTCTCCACCTTGAAAACGAGGATATTAAGTCTCCTTCTCAAAGGGCTAAAGTGAAAATTAAGGAATATGCGAAGTGAGCAGTGCTGATTCCAGTTTTTAATGGTAAATGACACTAATATTTTACCCTTTAGAATATCATTGGTTGGGGCTTCCCTGGTAGCGCAATGGTTAAGAATACACCTGCCAATGCAGGGGACACGGGTTCGAGCCCCGGTCCAGGAAGATCCCACATGCCGCAGAGCAGCTAAGCCCATGCGCCACAAGTACTGAGCCTGCGCTCTAGAGCCCAGGAGCCACAACTACTAAGCCCGCCGCACGCCCAGAGCCCATGCTCGGCAACAAGAGAAGGCACCACAACGAGAAGCCCTTGCACCGCAATGAAGAGTGGCCCCCGCTCACCACAACTAGAGAAAGCCCACGCACGGGCAACGAAGACCCAACATAGCCAACAATAAATAAATAAAATAAACAAATTTTTAAAAATATATCATTGGTTATTTTAGTAAATAGCATTTGTTTAAATAGCTTTCTTCTAATCCAACTCTTTGCAGTTATTCACAGTAGCTCTGTATTTAACTGAATAACTTTTCAACATCTATTGATGTCCTTTAGTTTGTTGGTATAATGAAATATGTTGATAAAGTTCTTGGTTCTGAAGTCCTTCCCTTACTGAAATTAATCCCATTTGTTTATATCATAATTTTATAAATGGATAGCTGGATTCAGACTTCCAATAGTTTATTTGAAATATTTGCTTCTATACTTGTAATCAAAATTCATCTTATTTTCTCTGGTGTGCTATCTTTATGATACTTTATACAATGAATTAGGGGTCTTTCATCTCTTTCTGTGGACTGCAATTATTTAAATAGCATAGGAATTACATGATCTATGAACTGAGATTAAACTCAGCAGTAAAAACATCTGAGCCTGCCACTGAATTCAGCTATGGTTATTGGTCTGTTCAAATTTTCTGTATCATTTTTGGGTCAAATGGGATATTTTATGTTTTGATAGTAAGTTGTCCATTTCTCTCAGTTTCCAAATTTATTATGAGTTTGTACAAGATGCTTTAATATAAATCTTTAAGCTTTTCTGTAATGTATCTCATTATTAACATTGTACATTTATTTTCTCTTTCTCTCGCTCCCTCTTAATTACGTTTGCCAGGAATTTCCTTTTTTATTCTATTATTCTTTTTAAACAAAAATGTGTATTCTGTATCATGTAACATAGAACATGTTATATATCACAAAAAAAAATTAAGGAACAGTGTCTTAAACAAGAAAAAGTTCATTTCTCTCTCATGTAATTGAGGTCCAGAGGTGTGCAGCCTGGGACTGTTGTGTTAGCACTCTGGCATCATCAGGGACCCAGACACAGTCTTCAAGCTGTGATTCCCCAGCCTAGCTTCCATCCTTGTGATCTTATCAGTCACAACAACTGTGGTGCTCTAATGGTCAGATTCGTCTTTCTGGCCAGTAGCAGGCAGAAGAAGGGAAAGATAAAAGAATCACTTTACCAGTAATTCAGCCCCCTTATTAGCCTTCCCAGAAGTTCCTGACCATACTTTTGTTAATGTATCATCTGCCTGAATTAATCATAGAGCCACAGTATGAGGCAAGGGAGTGCTAGGAATGCAGCCTGAGTAGATTTCCAGCCCCCCCCCCCCAAAAAAAAATCAAACTTCTATTCCTGGATAAAAGGACAGGTATGGATACTGGGGCGGGGGGCGGGGGCTGGAGGTTATCTGCACAATTTCATGTATCCTGTCAAACATTTCTGCTTGCACTTCTGCTTTAAATTTTCATAGCTTTCATGTCAATTAACTTTTCTTCCTAATTTCTGTTGGTTTATTTTGATACTCATTTTTTAAAGCCTGAGGTCAGTTTATTTATTTTTTGTCTTTTAAATAAATTACAATAAAACACTTGAGAATATAAATTTGAAGTCCTCTATTTTGTTGCCTCATTTGCTAGATCTCAACCTTTTACCAGTGGGGTAAATGTTTATGGAGCTGTCCCAAGACAGCTGGAACTAAACCATTAGATTTTCAGGTTGTGATCTTTGAACATATATTCCCTGAGCTGGGTGGTTATTTGACATATTAAATGTCTCTTCTCAAGCACACAGTCTCTTGTATCAAAATTCATTGAACAACTTGCCTTTTGCCAGACACTGAGTTGTCCCTAATTCTTCAAGATTAGGAGTACTGCTGTATCTGCCATTCTTTTATCTTTATCTACCTATGTAATGTATCTGTAGGATTAATTTCTAGAAGTGGAATGGCTGTGTCAAAGAGCGTAAAAAGGTAAAATCTGATACCTATCACAAAACAGCTTATTAGTTTGATCGTCTTTTGCCCTCCAAAAAGTTTTCCAGGAAATATAGAATGCTTTTTCCCATACACTTTTGGTGAGAGCATAACTTGCTAAAGCTGGTTCAGATAGCAATCTGGTCACATCAGCCAAAAGTTAAACAGGCACAGCCTCTGACACAGCAAGCCCTCTTCTAGGAGTCTGTCTTACTAAATTGCTTTTATATGTACACGGATATACACTGTACGTGATGACTAGGAAATATAACCTAAAGACGTTAAACTTAAGTGAAAAAAAATCCCATTGAAGACACGTGCTATGATTCCATTTTGTAAAATAAAACTATATGGGCAAATGTAAGCATACATTAGTACTTAAGTACAAAGTAAAAGAATGAAAAGAATACATACCCAACAGTGGTCATTGGTTACCTCTCAGGAAGTAAGATCAGGCCCAGGAAAGGAAGATTGTGGTAAAGAGAAAGGTCCACATTTAAGTCCATATACTTTTATATTATATGTATCTTTCACACTAGGGATATATCTTCATTTGACTATTACAGGAAATAAGATACTTTTTAATTAAATTAGAATGTTGGTTCGTATTTTAAAGTTACCTATACTATCATTTCATTAGTTATTTATATTGCTTATTTATATGGTGGCTTTATTTTTATTTTAGTGTCTCAATGACATTATCAAGGAGCTAGGTTCTTTCTCTCTTCCTGCTCTTCTACAACATAGATTGGCTGCCACCACCCCAGGTGTCAGCCAACAAAATCCAGTTAAAGAAGGGCTTTTGTTACAATGTCCCCTCTAAAAAATAAATCTTAGCAACCCACCCAGCAGTCCTTTGCCTCATACACACACACACACACACACACACACACACACACACACACACACACACACACACACACACACACACACAC